GCCCTGACGCCCCTTCCGCCGGCGACGGAAGCGCCGGGCCCGGGGGAGGAGCGGGCGCGGGCGGCGGGGCCGGCGGAGGCGGCAGGATGAGCGAGCCCGAGCTGCTGCTGGACTCCAACATCCGGCTGTGGGTGGTGCTGCCCATCGTCTTCATCACCTTCTTCGTGGGCATGATCCGCCACTACGTGTCCATCCTGCTGCAGAGCGACAAGAGGCTCACGCAGGAGCAGGTGTCCGACAGGTCCGCGGCGGGCAGGGCCGCGGCGGCCCCGGGCTGGCGCCCTGATCGCCGGCTCCCCTGCTTACTTCATCTTGGGGTTTTGTTTTTCTTTCCAGCCAAGTCCTGTTAAGGAGCCGAGTCCTTAGGGAAAACGGGAAGTACATCCCGAAGCAGGTATGGACGAGAGCTGCGCGGAGCGGCCGGCGCGGTGCCCTGGTCAGGGGCYGGTGGTTGCGGGGTGCAGCCGGGCCGCCTCCTGCCTGGCCCGTGGCCGTGTCCCGTGTCCATGTCCCGTGTCCCGTGCAGAAGGGCAGCGGGGGCTCGGAGCAGCGCGCGGGGCCCGTGGAGCCGCATCTCCTTCCCTGCGCTCCCGCTGAGCTTCCCACTGCCGCCCCACAGCCACTAAGGAGCCGCCTCCGGCCCTTTGGTGCCCGCCCGGGAGCACCTGGGGCAGCGGTGACAGCAGCAYGGCACGAGGAACCGGCATAGGGAGGTCGTGAAGCCTGGCCTGGGATGTTTGCTAAAGTGCAGTGCTCACAGTGGCTCAGTTGCTACCGAACGTGGCTGTATGTGTATACAGTAAACAGCCCCGCATGTGGGTACTGGGGCTGAGACAACACGATCTTGGCACAAAGCACCACAAGGCCTTCAAGGAGCATGGGTTGTTCTGAGAGGGAATTTTAGGTGAACCAGAGAGCAAAGAGCTGTGATTTGGGGTTCACAACAACCTCAAAGGTGGAGTAAGGAGCTCGAGAACTCCAGGATGGAGTTCTCCAACTCCAGAATGGCCAGGGATGTACCCCTACAACAAAGAGGAACGTGTCGTAAAGCAGTTTGTAAAACGTCTGCATATCTAAAGAGGAATTACCSTCATTTAATTTCTCTTTGGTGTTAGAATTCACTCTTTTTGTTTTCAGTCTTTCCTGACACGGAAATACTACTTCAATAACCCCGAGGATGGATTCTTTAAGAAAACRAAGAGGAAGGTGGTTCCGCCTTCTCCCATGACAGGTGTGTTAAAGTAGCATGGACTTTCCGGTAGAAAGCAGGTAGTTTTCTGCCCAGGTAGAGAGATTAATTGATGTAGTGAAGAGCTGGGTGAGCGTGAGGTGGAGCTGGGCGCTGAGGTGGCCAGAGAGGGCTGCAGGATCTCTCCTTTCAGCAGGATGTGGGACCTCTCTCTTTTGGTGCAGCATCCACCACGTTACTCACTGCTGTTTCCCTTTTGCAAGGCATTTTATGAATGGTGGGGGAAAAAAAGAACAATTAGATAAGAGGTAGTTAGTGGAGTAGGACTGTTAATGTCTTGTGCAGTCTCTTAATTAAAGGAGCTGTCTTTGGCAAAGTCAAAAGAAGGCTTTTAACTTGTTCCCCTTTAATTTACCACATTATGGTAAAACTTTGCATTGCAGATCCCACCATGTTGACGGATATGATGAAAGGGAATGTAACCAATGTTCTGCCCATGATCCTCATTGGAGGATGGATCAACATGACGTTTTCAGGGTTTGTCACTAGTAAGTGTCTGCAATACCAGGGCTCGTGGATGCCACAAGGTGTCTGAAAATGCTCTCTGTGGTCAAGCTGCAGCAGAAATTTGCTCCTCTACATGAAAAGCAATAAATTGGAAAGAGCATGAAATTAGTTTATGGCAGTGTTGCAGTTCACTGCAKTAAGTGCAGCCATCTGTTTACCCCGTAGCAGTGGAGTGAAAATTATTTTCCAAGTACCAGGCTTGATCACAAAGAAAATAYGTAGTGTATTTGGGAACCATTGTTGTGACCAAAGAGATATTTAAATTTATTTAAACTGCCCAGGCTTTATGCTGATGTAATGGTTTTTCTTCTGAATATGTCCTGGGAATTGGTTTTATTATATAGGAACAATTTCCTCAAGTTCACATTTCTTCTTGCTGTTTGTGCAGAATGCATCCCCTGAACAAAAGATATTCCCCTCCATAGCGGTTTCAGAAAGTCAAAATATCTACTGACCCTGCGGTCACTGAGTGCCACTTTGCAAAAATGATCTTTTTTTCCTCTTAATTCTGCAGCAAAGGTCCCATTTCCTCTGACGCTGCGTTTTAAACCGATGTTGCAGCAGGGCATTGAGCTGCTCACTTTAGATGCCTCTTGGTAAGTGTGTGTTCTTAGCAAGCGAACGTCAAGCGTTCTTTTGGAAAAGTTTGGAAGTGCTCGTGATCCTCGAAGGGGTACGAGCTGCTTCTGAACTCAGAACTGAAATGAAAGASATTTGTTCTGATTTCATCAGGGTAAGCTCTGCTTCCTGGTACTTCCTGAACGTGTTTGGACTTAGAAGCATTTACACTCTCATCCTGGGTCAAGATAATGGTAAGACAACATTGTGTCTGTCAAAAAGCTGGTTTCTGGATTCCCAAACAAAAAACCTTGTGAAAATCTCTCTTAATTCTCTTAAGATTACCCTCTGCTGGTCAGGTTTGACATCCACTGCAGTAATTACATTTTGCACCAGCCATGGGCTAACTGCTAGAAAGCTGCCATGGCGATTTACCTTTTTTTTTTTTTTTTTTTTTTTTTTTTGTCAATGCCGTGAGCAGAAGTTTTGCTGTCAAGGTCACTTATGTTTCTAGCAAGGATCAGTTTTAAGCAGAACTGCAAAGATTTCTTAGTGCTAGACAGAATTTCAGAGCAGAGTGGATATTGGTCATAGAGAGTGTAGAAGAATATATTTTCTTCCATCTACTTGCGTATTTCATATAAATTGAGCTGAGAGGGTGGGAAAAAGCTGTCTCATGAGAATTCGTGCTGGCAGATTAATGCTGCACCTGTGGGTTCCCCACAGTTTTCCAGTCAAGAGGTGTAAACCAGAAATGTGGCAATGTGCTCTAAGAAATGTTTCAACGGGACAAAAATAAGTGAATCTCTAATTTCTCTTTTGTAGCTGCAGATCAGTCTAGGGTGATGCAGGAACAAATGACGGGGGCAGCAATGGCCATGCCAGCAGATACTAACAAAGCGTTTAAGGTACAGTATTCCCACTCTCACTCCTGTTGCCTGTGAGCTTACAGGATTGTGTTTTATCTGTCTGTCTATCTATCTATCTGCCTATCCATCTATCTTCCTCTCTTTTCCCTTGTCAAACAAGGGAGTTGCCTTGAATACCAAAAATCAGAGTTGGCATCTGATGAGGGACATACAAGTTGCCCTGTGTCTGGCAGAGCTCTGGTCACCAACACAAACCTGGTGCACTTAGTAATTCCTAATACAAAATTTGACTTCCTGTGCCATGTTCTGCACTGGCAAAGAGAGGCTCCTTTTCCTTCCCTTGAGATCTACTTTCAGAGCAAAAGCTGACTCCCCAAAAGCTGTGGTAATAGTGCAGGTGAACACAAGGCCAGCAGGCATATGACAGCACTTGAGTAAGAAAATGAATCAAGAGATTGAACTCAACTGAAAAACTGTTTTCTCTTGTAAATACTGTGGTCAGAGATGACTCATTTTGATAAAGATACCCACTTCTGTGACTACAGAATACTCAAATATCCTCTGTCGCTGGCAGGGCCAAATCACGAACACAGCATTCAAACATACTTGAGTCAATGATCAAAATTACATCTGACATAATGGATCTCAGCTGGTACGTAAGTGTGTAAAGGTTCTTCCCAAGTTACATAAACTTGTAAGCAGGTGAAGGGTCACAGTTAGCAAAGGCATCAACAAAAGAGACTCTCCAAGAAGATCWGAGGTGGTTCCTACATGAAGGACGGAAAACTTCTTCAAGGGTCGCTCCTTTTGGATGAGCTGGCTCTGTGTGTCAGCCTACTTGGCAGAAGAAAGCAGGTACAGAGGAAAATGTGAACTGAACTAGTGTAAGCACAAGGAGTAGGATCGTTCTGAAAGACTGTGGAGGGTGTGGGTGTGACTTAGAGGCCTGGAGCTCAGGAGCGTACTGTATCCATAAAAGTTTTCATAAGCAATCGTCATAGACATCTGCTTAGGATAGGGTCTGGTTGTCTCTCACAGTCTTGTGTGCCTGGGGGACGGCTCTGATTTTGTGGTTTTTGGGTCCTGYAGCAGGCATTGGCTGCACACAGCCTGCAGATTCCTGTATTCAGAAATTCCCTCGTAGGAAACATCGCCCATCCAGATACTCAGCAGATGGAGAGAGCAGCTGTGTGGTGCAGACCTGGTTAAGCAGTGACTGTTGCAACTCTGCCCCAATGCTTCYTTTGATGAGCATCACATGAAATGAGTTTGCAGCTTGTGTGTGGTTTATTCCAGGATATTCCTAGTGAGCTACACTGAAGGGAGTAGGAGATGATACTTGTGCTCATGCTTGGTAGAAAATGAGCTGTCACATCTCATTCACGTGCTTCAGATGAAATTCTGTTATTCTTAGGTGTTGGGCTTCTGCAAACACTTGGCTTAATGAAGAAACAAACTCTGCAACGCTGGGGAGCTACTCTAGGAAACCAGCTGGTCACAAATCCAACAGTCTATAGGGGCACCTCACATCTGCCTTGCAAAATTTTCAGCCTTTAACTGCTTTTTCTGTCAAACAATTAACTAACCACAAAACATTTGGCCTGCTGGAATGGAGGTGCTTGAAGGAGTTTCTAGAGACAGCTGTGTCAGAAGAAATAGATTGTTCCAGAAGGTGAAAGAGGGCTTTTCAAAAAGCATATATATAATATTTTCTAGTGTCTATAAGATACTTYTATTAACTTATACACAGCTAAGCATATTGATTGCAGAGAGCTGATAGGACTGCCATTTTTTTACTGTTTTCTTTGTTATCTTTCAGGTGAGCACTGCTTTGCATAGTTCATGTCTAAAGCATACAGCAAGCGGGGAGAGCTGTTTTAATCCCATGTTGCTTTTTTTCCTCTATCTTGTGTTTATTTTCAATGTAGACGGAGTGGGAAGCTTTAGAGCTGACTGATCATCAGTGGGCCTTGGAAGATGTAGAAGAAGAGCTCATGGCAAAAGACCTCCACTTTGAAGGCATGTTTAAGGAAGAATTACAGACCTCCATCTTCTAAATTTGAGAGTACTCTTCTTGTAAAAAGCATTTGATGAAAAGAGAGCTGTTACTTAAACGTGCAAAATGTATTTTAGCAAGGCTGAGAATAAAACACCAACTTCAGAACCTGTCTGGCAGCGATCTGAGTCGCAGGATAGAATATGCTGTATTTGAGCCAAAGGGTGTTGGTTTGGTTTTCTTGCTATAGAAGAGTTCCATCTCTCTCTGTGGGAAATGTATGTTCGAACAAAGACAGGGAGGAATTACTAATTCAAGTACAGAAGTGGCAAAGTGCTAACTAATTTATTAACTAATTAATTTATTAACTAATTAAGTTGAGCTAAGGAACAGAAAGTCTCATGAAGCTGAAGAATCAAGTAGTGGCCRAGTGTCTGGCTTTACCTTCACAAGCAGCCAGGCAGCCATCCAGCCCTTGTTTGTGARCATTTAAGACATCATCATGTTGGCGATTCGGTTTACCTGAGAGGTGTGGACCGCATCCTCAGAAGCGGCCTGAGGACCGAGTTTCTTGTATTGGTTGTCCTTCCTGGTTATACTCTCTACATGTTGCTGCAGTAAAGTGAGGGTGAGGATTTTTATTAGGATGACAAAACCAAGGAGAAGTATGTGTATTCTAGGGGGAGAGGGAAGGTGAGCAACCTGTTCCATGACTAGAACCTGCCCCACAACATGCTAGAAGTGACAGGAGACACCTGACCCAAGTTATCAGATGTGCTGTATGAAATCTGGTGAGCTCGTTTACTAATTGCACTGGCAGGTGGGTGAATATAGCAGGCAAACATCAAGCTAGCCTCTGAGAAAACACAGACCTAGACCTTAAGTTTAGATTCAAAGCGTGTGCTCTGCTTGTWTTAAACACTATTTTTGAGGTCATTCAGCCAGAAGTTACAATTGCAGAGGGCCTTATTGCACAAATGCAGCAGAGGGAGCACGTGAGCAGTTAGGACCTCTCCTCCGTTAATACTTTAACCTAATGTCTTTGGCCTTGATGTAGCTGCACATTCTTGATGGGTGTCCAGCAGTAGTTTCGGGGAGCTGACCTGGTCCCTCTGATTTGCCTGGCCCAGCCAATGTCCCCATCAAAACCAGGAGTTCCGAAGCGCTCCCCAGAAAAACTTKGTTAGCAAAAAGCGCAGATTGAGAACAGGGAGGAGCTGAGGGAATTCAGCCAGATGTTGCAAGTGAAGGGAGTTTTGATTAATCCTGTTCTGCTACCTGAAACGCACAGGGGTTTCCTTCAGCAGCAAAGGCTAGAGAGCCATCTCAGGGATATTTGAGCCAGGCCAACCGCTCACACAGGTCCGCAGCAGCTCAGTGCGAAGCCAGCCATGTTCCTGTCCTCCTTGCTCAGCCCAGGGCTGCTCTTTGGAGACAGCAAAGATGTTGTGGAAGACAGGCACCAAGCCTGTGAGCCAGGGCCACCTCAAGCAACAGATTTCCACTCTCACAACAACACTGTGCCTCACTGCCTTATTACTACTACTACTATTATTATGCATTTCGGTCATTTTTAATCCATCCATTTTTAATCCAATCCATTTCTTGAAAATGGAAGAGGGCCACTCGTTCCCCATGCTTGGCAGCAATTCTCTGAGCCACAACCACCCCCAGATACCCCAGTTTGGATCCTTATTCCCAGGGAGAGGTGCTAGCCCCRCTCCAGGCACAGAGGCTGGCAGCACTGTGCGCACACAGGGACGTCACTCTGTCTGCATCACAGGCATCAGAGATGGTACATAAAGGGGCTGGCACCAGGCTGCGTCTGTCAGCCCAGGGCTCCTAGTGTGAGCAGAGCTGGTGTTGGGGGGTCCCTGCACCCCTGCTCAGTAGCCTCCAAAGCAGCTTTAGGGGGAACTCAGCAGGAAAGGGGCATTGCCATGTTGGCACCACAGGCCATTCACAATGTCATGGGGCTGCTGTGAACCCCCAAACTCCCCGAGACCGCATGGAGGCTGGTGGCATCTGTGTCGCTGACAGCCCCTGCACCAGCTCCAGCTTTTCTCTTTCAGAATGCACAGGCAAAGCATTTACCTCTAAGCGTCACAGCAGGCAGCGTGGGGCCTCGAGGGCCATTGCCCTTCTCTGCCCCAGCAGACGAGGGACCGTGGCTCCTAGTCCCAGGACATCCATGCGGACACGTGGCAGTCGCCATCCTCGAAGATCGCATCRCACTCTGAGGCCCTGGATTTGAGCAGTGGTGCTACACAGTGACACAGGGGCATGGTGGGGCCCACAGCTGCCTCCTCATAGAGGGCGGGATGCTCTCACGGAGCCAGGGCAGACCCAGGAAGGCGTGAGGGCTCCTGTCTCTCTAGCTCACGTTGATGTTGTCACGCACTGCTCAAGAGGCCCCAGGGACGCAGTTCAGCGCAGAATGGCTCCAGTCAGGCTTCCTGCAGCAATTTCCCYGCCTGACATCTATTTCCAGAGGAAAGTGCTCCAGAAAGACAGAGGACCCTGATTTACATCCACAGTGCAGTTCCCTGCTTCATTCTTCTCTCCTGGAAGAGATCGGACAAACCCTCTGCCCTTGCCTGCTGCAAGGCGCAGAGCTGCTCTGCACTGTTACACCTGCAGCCACAGCAGCAAGACTGCCAGGGCTTTCTCCTTCGCAAACCCTCCTGCCAACAAACTTGGAGGCCAAGAGGAGTCAAGCCCCCACCATCCCTGCAGGCGCACTGATGTAAACACATAAAACCCTGCTGCATTTAATATCAGTCTGTGTTGTTGTACTTGATTCAGTTGCATAATTAAAAAAAGAAAATTGCAGTGATTGCAGGATAACCAYTTCAATGGCATAGCCGTAAGGTCACTGCTAAAGTCATCAGAGAAGATGGTTGGAAGGAAGGTCAGGATTCCCTCCAAGAGCTGTAGGAGCTGGAGCAAGGAGGAAACCACCGCCCACGGCCACCCCGGCGCTGCAGTAGGAGGAGCTTTGCCGAAGTCCTAGGTAACAGCAGGCAAAGGGAAGAAAAGAAGCTCTGTTCCAAGCCTCCTCTTGCCAAAATAGCTCCTAGTGCAGCAGATGTCCCCCCACCCTAAGACAACGGTGGCCCAAGAACAGACCCCCGGCTGCAGTTAGGGAAGGAAAGGTAGAAAACACGACAGCACCCAGTTTCAGTGCAAACCACTCTTTAATCTTCCTCTTTGCACARCAGAGGCAGCCCCTTACAAAGCGCYGCTCTATAAAGCGGGCCTGACGTTACAAGAGGTGCAGCAGACCGAGACTGGCGGGTTGGAGGAGGAAGGCAGGGGCCGAACTGCTCCTGCCGCAGTGGAGATTTCACCCCCTCCACACACTCCTCTAGCAGAAGAAAGGAGCAGCAGGATCGATGTCTGCAGCGGCAGGAGGGAGGGAAGATCCTTTTATGCTGATCTTCCCCTTACAAGAGCTTGGGCCCCTTTTTCTCTCCCCCCCACCTTTGAAATGCCCAGGTAATTTAATTTCCTTTGAGGGTAAAACTAACAGAACAACAGAAGAAGAAAAACAGGGGAGTCAGTGCAGTGCTACAGCTTAAAAAGCTTTTTAGATGCTCTCCTCTCASGGAGGAGGAAAGAAAAATAAAACGTCCCTTGAAGTTGTAAAAACCCCAGTCCGAAACAGGAGAAGCATCAGCACCTCTGAGCTCACATTTTAAAATCCTCATACTTAAAAACTAAARTCCTTTGGGAGAGCAGCCTGCCACCAAACCACCAGCTGGGGATGGCCCTTGCTCCTCCTCTCACCGAGGACCTCGCAGTGCAGAGGCCCAGCAGCCACCCACTGCCTTCTTCCCTTTCCCTTGCTTGGCGAGGGCCAAGGGAGCGAGGGGTCAACCCCAACCCGYCCGCGGGGCTGGGGGCAGAGCAGCAGACACGGAGCCGAGGCGGCAGGTTTGGGGCTGAATGGACAGTGCTGTCACCTTCCTGCASGGCCCGGAAGGTCACAATGAGTGGTGAAGCTGCAGGGCTGGCTGCGGGGGTAGATCTTATGGAGAAGAAAGCAAGGAGGGGGATGAAGTCGGCCCTCGTCTTCGCTTCTGCTGGCGTGCTCTGCTCCAAACAGAAGCAAGCAAAAAAGAAACATCTTGGCATTTGCTTCACCCCTCGAGCCAAATACTACCTAGACACAAGTTAAGTCTCTGGATTTTGCAAGTTTTCACACGACAAGCCAGTTTTCTGTTTAAGATTGACCCGGTCTAGTGTTTGCAAAAGTCCCAMTTCAAAATTCGTGGTGGCCTAGAACCCTACAAATAGCAAAACCGTCTCAGGTAACAGAGGAAGAGCAGTTGTACTGGAGGGATGGAGCAAAACTGGTACATGGCTGCTGCCAAGGGAGACCTCAGACAGGACTTCTACCCCTGCAGCCTTGCAAAAGATGGGTGCAGGACCTAACTGTGCTCGAGGGTGGCACGGAAAGGCTGAAATGGCTGCACAAAAACAAGGCYGCAGGAGAAAAAGCCACAACTCACATGGGTTGTCACCTCTAACTGGCACTGCGGCCCCAAGCTCTGCTGCATTAAGAGCTCCAGAAACACCTGAAGCACCCTCACCTTTCTTCCCCTTCATTAGAGGTGACAGTGAAGTGCTTATGGAGTTGCCTGGAAGCTGGTATGAGGGATATRGGAGATGGAGGGAAAGAACAAGAAGGGGCCGATGTTACAGGTAACATTTTCTCCCACGAAGGAGGTTATCCAAAGTCAAAAGGGATGCATCCCGCTATTAACATGCAGGTCAGCTCATACACACAGCCATGCAGGTGGGTATGTGTTGTCAATGAAGCCTCCTGCTTTGAAGGGTTCAGTGTCCACACATGAACGGCAAGAAGTCAAAGCTACTCTGAAGGCTGGAGCGCAGCAGTAGCTGGAAGGACGTGAGGAGAGAAAGCACTGCAGCTTAGCCAGAGAAGCAACATACAACAGCAGAAATGGCAGTGGCCCCACGTATTTGACCCGAGAGCTTCCAAATGGCTGCAGCTCCCTGGAATGAGCAGGGCACAAGGGCTACACCAGACCATCGAAAAAACCTCAAGCAGATTCACAGAACCGTAACCCTTGTAGCCCAYGGGCCTCCGCGCTCAGCTGAGACCTCTGGCTCAGGCTGCGCACTCTCCCCAAACCATCTAC